CTGAGATTAAAGGCGTGCACCACCACCGCCTAGCCGGCGAGAGGGCGTATGCTTTTTAAATTTTTTGTTTTGTATTGGCGATAATGGACCCGTGGAGGTCACTGGGTAACTTGCGGGAATCTATTCTTTACTTCCACCATGTGGGTTCCCTGTCAGGATTGACAGCAGTACCCATTGAGCCACCTTGCGGCCTTTAAAGGGCTTCATTGGGTGGACCCGATTTAAAGGCATTATGAAGAGGCGTGGCTTGTGAACATCTTCATAGTGCTGGGCAGAGGAGGGGGTCGGTTACCTGGAGGTAGTTCCGCTGGCGTGAGCTCAGTGAGGGGGCGGAGTCTGAAGAGCTTGAGGGCAACTCCGTTTCCCTGGAGGGCGGAGTTTGGTTGCGTCTCTTAGGAACAGAGTTTGTATCTCAGAGTAACTGCGTGAGAATGTCCAAATTCTGGGCGGAGTTCATACCTCAGGGAAGACAGGATTAATAAACTCCTCTTGTCTCCGCTTCTGTCCAGATGTGGGGACACCGCTTGTCACTTTTGGGCGGGGCCCTAGCGGAGCTGATAGGGCAGAGGGGCGGGCAATAGCTCTGAAGGCATCTTTGAGCTGGCAAGGGGCGGGCGAGGCTCTTGCTTTGAAGGGCGGGGCCTCTGGAAAGTTTTCTTCCCCTCCAAGGGGTGTGGCTCGTGGAGGGGCGGGGCTGATAACCTAAGCATTCTCCGCCCGGGTGAGGTGAAGCGCAGCCTAGGAGTTAATGGGCGGAGCCTGAGGCTCAGCTTTCGGCCTAGGCGGAGCCTGGATCTGGGCGCAGGCGGGGGCTCTGCCCTGGGAGGCCGTCTGTTTAGGCCCGCACGCAGCTCCGCATCTGGTGCTCATTACCAGATGACAAAGAGCCGGCTCTGGGCCCCCTTCCCTACACCCATCCTCCCGCGGACTGCAGCGCATTTAACTCTTTCTTTCCCTCAGGGTGCCATCGACCCTCTGCCAGGGGTCACGGGAAGAAGCTTCAGGCCTCTGTCCCAACAGGCGGTGTCATTCCATAAGTGATACCTGCATCCCCTCAGACCCAGACTTTCTAGAAAACCAGGCGACCTCCCTCCATTCCATCCATCAACCTTCCCACCACCACCCGCCCCCTCGACTGCGTCTTCGAGGTTAGAGCTGGGAAGAATCTGGCAGGAGCGTCTGGTTTGAGTTAGGGGAACGTGAGAGTGGCTACCCCGGCGATGCGTTCCCTCCACCCCCTCTGTTAACCCCCACTCCCAGTTGGTTCCCAGTTCCACACCCGTTCTGGTCTCCTAAGGTACAATCTTTGGGCGAGAATGTGGCATAGGGGTTTCGGGTAGAGAAAGGGCGCCGGGCCACCCCTGCTCACCTGCCTGAGGCAGGGGGGAGGGGAGGGGGAGGGAGTGCGGCTTTCCCCAGTCCTAATTAGAGGCCTCAAGAGGGCTGAGCTGAAAAATTATAGAGGTGGTGGAACCGGCGCCTCCCTCTTCCAGGTCTCGTCCCTTCCCCCCAGGACAATCAGCTGAGGATGACGGGGAGGTTATCCCACACTCGGTGATTTTTGACCAGACACCAGCCCTGAATATCCTGGGCCCTCCCTCAAGCTAGGGTCTTCTGGGTTCTCTCCTAGCAGCTCCACTTCCACTCAACAGAGGGAAGAGTAAAGTGTGGCCTCTAATGGGAAGGTCTTGATTCTGAATGGACCCAGGGAGATAGAACTGGGCTTTCTTTCTCAGCCTCCTGGGCACCTAGTCTTACCTCCTCCCCTACTACCTCCTATGAAGGAGGAGTCCCTACAACCATGGGGTGGTAGCATCCTTGGGTGACTCTGATTCCCCCCCATCTAGACTTCTGGGAAGCCTATGACATTGGTAAGAATGAATGCGCAGAAGAAAGTTCAGAAATGCAAGCGCTGTGCCCCGAATCTCCAACACCCTCCGACCTGTGACTCCCAAGCCCCAGGTGGAGTCCAGTTTGTCAGAAACCCTCGTCTCAAGGTCTTCCCTGCTTTTCTTTGGATTTTAATAAAAAGAGCAAATATGGACTTTCTTCCCTGCCAAACCTCTAGAATCCTGGACTTGCTGTGTGACAGTGGGCAAGGCTCAGTCAGCCTGCCCTCTCTCAGCTCAGTTCACGGAAAATTCTCAAGCACACCTCCTTTAAAGAATTCTTACCTTACTTAGAACATGGAAGGGAACTCTATATCTCTCCCACAAGTTTTCCCAGGCCCTCCCCTCAGGCATCAGTGGGGGTCAGGAGCTTTGGGTGAGGTTGGCACCCCATTTATTGGAGAAGATCCCAGCACCCACCCCTTGAGGTCCTGGAGGCCTTGGTGTCTCCTTTGCCATGAATGCTGGGCCCAAGGAGCAGAATTCTTTCTGTCCATCTGGGGAGCCCCCATAAGTCCCTGGTGCAGTCTCATCCATGTGTCCAAAGCAAGTCCCTTCCTCCTACCCCACAAGGGGTATCTGTGCCCCATCACACACTGGTTCTGCAGGTCTGTACCCCTGTAAGGCTGCCTCTGGGGGGCATGGGTTCTGTTGGGTTCTTGTTCCCAGTTTGTGTGACCCAGCGATAGCAGTCAGTGATGCGTTTGTTGGGGGCATGGGGGCCACAGCGGGTACAGTACACGATGCCCAGTGCAAGCAGGACCACCAAGAAGACACATGTTGGTACCAGGAGTGCCACCAGCAGCCACCGGTCATCCCTCTGACTTTGGTCTGCAAGACCCGCCTCTGCCAGGGCTGTTGGAGCTGCTGTAGGGGCCACCGAGGGCAGCCATGGCAGCAGTTTGGGACTGGGAGCTCCTTCCCTCGGGAATAGAGGGGCTCTGGAATAGGGGCGGGTAGAGCTGATAGTTGAGGTCTGGTTAACGGGGTTCTGCGGGGGAAGAGAAGACGGGAGGGCCGGAGGATGGGTGGCAGCAGGCACAGGGGCTTCGTGAGCAAAGGACTTAGAGGGGCTAGGCAGAGAGGGCTGGACAGCTGAGACAGAAAGCTGGGGAGCCTGGGTTCTGATGCCTGGAACATCTGGGGCCAGGGGGCGTTGATGAGCTTTGGAAGTGGCATCCTCAGGGTCAAGGTTAGGTGGGACTGAAGGCAAATAAGTGACCGTGTGGGCGTCTGGGGACATAGGGGACTGGTGGGGAGGGAATACCTGGGGATATCTGCTTGAGATAGTGGGGGGCTGGTAAGCAGGAGGCCGGGCTGGGTGAGTGGCTGAGATAATCCCAGGCTTGTAGCCAAAAGGCAGGTCTGGATAATTGGCCTTGATTTTGGGGATCCGGTACTCAGGGAGCACAGCTGGAGGTGTGACAGGGGCCATGGCAGGTGGGTGAACAGGGCTGAGGGCTGGGTGTGTGGCTGAAATAACAGAAGTCTTGTGGGCAGAAGACATTGTGGGTTCCATGGCAGAGATCACCATGGGCCGTGTGGCAGAGACCACCGAGGAGTGGTAGGGGCCCCTGGGGGCACTGAGTGGCGGTGGCCAGGTAGGCTCCAGGTACAATCTCTGAGGCTCTCCATCCTGTGGGAAATTGGGCCTATAGGCCAGGCCAAAGTCAGGTGGTTGTGTAGGTGCCATCCATAGAACCCTCTGTTCCTCTGTCCAGGTGTCATCAAAGGCCTCCCAGGCTTCCTCTTCATCCTCCCCTTCTTCTCCATCATCCAGCAACTCATCTCTAAGGTCCTGGGAAGCCTGGGCACCCATGGCTCCTGCAGGGCTACAACTGATGCCATCTGCCTCAAGCTCGTGACCTTCGCTGCAATAGCACTCAAAGCCACCAACATAGTTGACACACATCTGCTGGCATACTCCAGCAATCTGGCACTCATCCGTGTCCACGCAGCGGTGTGGCTCATCCTCAGCTGGCCGAAAGCCCAGACGACAATGGCAGCTATAGCCTTGTGGCCCACCAGGCTCACACTGCTGCTCACAGGGGGCCTGCGCACAGGGGTCTTCACAACTGCGCCCATCTGCGGCGAGCCGGAAGCCTTCACTGCAGCGGCAGGACACACCACCATCCACCTCTTCTACACACTCGTGTTCGCAGCCCCCATTGTCAGGACCACAGCCAGTCCCTGGGCACAGGGGGCCAGCCTGGGACCAACCAACACCACCTGAAGGTTGTTTCACGCACAGCAGAGAGGCTCCCCTGCCAGCCTGGCACTGCACAGCTGCCACAGAGCCAAAGGGCAGCCACTCGAACTCGCTGGAAACCAGGTTGAAGGGTGTGGTGTAGACAGCTGGGCCTGCTTGGCCCACCTCAACCGGCAAGGCAGGGCAGGCACCCTCAAAACCAAACTGGCAGAGGTAGCCATCGACAGCCAGTGTACAGGAGCCTTCGAGCCAGCGATGTTCTCCACTGGCCTCAAGGGCAGCACAGCGCTGGGCCGGACAGGGTCCTTCCGTAGCCGGCTGGGCCCAGTTGGTGAAGGCGGTGTCCTGGTCTCCAGTGGTCCATATGAAGCCCCGCAGTGGGCGCTGCGGCTGGCATTGTCGAGCCTGCCGCTGCAGTCCTATCCACAGCAGCCCGTTGGCCGGCCCGACGCCCACCAGGTTGTCTACACGCCTGGCCTCCTCCGGGGTCCGTGGCGTGGCCAGGTTACCCCCCAACTCGCGGCACGCCCGCCAAGCTTCCAGGAAGGTGCGGCGCCGGGGAAAGAGCGCGTAGCAACTGCCCGGGCCGCAGACGGCTCGGGGCTCGGGTATCCAGGGGACCTGGCCCAGAGCGGGCACCGCGGCCGCCCAGGACAGCAGCAGACGCAGCAGCATCGTGACGCCCCCCGACTGGCCCGGCTCGGGTCCTCCGCTGCTCTTGACAGAGGGAGGGATCAAGGCCTCCGGCGGGAGGGCCGGGGGGCGGGCCCTGCGGACTCACGCCTTGTAAGGAGTGGGCTGGGGAGGCTGCCAGCTCCCCTGCTAGCTCCCCGGGGGCTGTAGGAGCAGGAAGCAGTGGGGTGGGGGGTTCTGGGGTGAGAGGAGCAGGGCAGAGGAGGGGAGGAGGTGCAGTTAACTAACGGGCTACCTCAGGCCTTATAGAGCTGAGAGTCACGGAAAAGGGGAACTGCCTGCCTGAGAGGCATCCTTTCAGCACTCTGAAACTTCATCAGGATCCGCAGCTAAGACAGTTGGGTGAAGACAGTTGTCTTCCTGAGAGACTCGTGGAGACCCGAATCTGGATTCACCAGTATCAGTATGTGGCTGCACTCTCAGCTCAGCGACTTGCTCGGGCCAGCCCTTTCCCATCACAGTATGTATGCAGACTCCTCTTCCAAATCCTGGCAAGAGCATCCTCTCTGACACCCTGTCTATCTCAGGCAGCCAAACCCCAGTCTCATACATGCAGTCTTCCTGACATGCTATGCCCTTAGGTGGACAGGCAAGGGCGAGGATGATGTGGCATGCTAAATGGTCTAATCTATGAAGCTCCTCCCATTCCTGCCAGGCCCTACATGAGAATCAGCTTGATAACCCCCATGCTGAGAATGGAGAACCTCAACCAGACATGTATTTGATGAGCCCCTTTGCTCAGCCTATCTCACATCCAAGTTTTCTGGCTCCAACAGGACCAGCATTAGGGGTTAGTGAGTGGGGAGGAGGCCAAGGGCTGCCGTTTCCTTACCCTGGCTCAGTAAGGGGCCCTGGGAACCTGGACTTAGAGGGGGAGGAGGCAGCCCCCAAACAGGAAATGCCTCTCTGGGCTCCTGCAGCAAGAGGGCAGGGTGCAAGATTCTGGGCTAAGTGGAGGCTGAGTTATATGCAGGGCAAGCAGAGCTGCTTATGAGGGGACCCGTGCAAGGCCATGTATGGGCATGGGGTACACAATGGGATAGGCATGTATGACACAGGCATCATATTGCCCTCCCTGCTCCCAGGGCCTGCTGCATAGCCTGGCCGGGTTCTCTTCCTGCCCTTCCTAGAAGCCTCTGGAAGTTTGTGCATTGGGCCAAGCACCCAGGATGGCCCCTGAGACTCTGTCTGAAGAATTAATGCCTGCATTTTCTATGTACTCTTTATTTATTAGTATTATTTTATCATTATTATTAAATTTTTTTGTTTTGTTTTTGGAGCCAGAGTTTCTCTGTGTAGCCCTGGATGTCCTGGAACTTGCTCTGTAGACCAGGCTGATCTCAAACACTGAGATCCTATCTCTGCCTTCCAAGTGCTGGGATTAAAGGCATATGCCACCATTGCCTGGCGATTTTTTTCTTTTTAAGAGAAGGATTTTGCTATGTTGCCAAGGCTGGCCCCAAACTCCTGGGTTCTGAGTAGCTGGTACTACAGTCACCCAATACCAAGTAATCCTGGTAATACTCTTGTTTTTTATTTTAATATTTTGAATTTTATTTTCTGTTTTATGAATATTTTGCTGCACATATGCATCTGTACCATGTACAAAACTGGTACCCTCGGAAGTCAGAGAAGGACATCACATTTCCTGGAACTGGAGTTACAAGTAGTTGTAACCCACCATGTGGGTGCTGGAACCCAAACTTGGGTTCTCTGCAAGAGCAACAAATACTCTTAGCCGCTGAGCCATCTTTCTAAGCCCTTATTTTTGATTTTTGAGGCAAGGTCTCACGTAGTGTAGGCTGAGCTGGAATTTACTATGTAATCAAGAACGACCTTGAACTCCTGCTCTGCCTACGTCCTCAGGCCTGGCTCTAACACCTCAGGCCTGGCTCTAACACCTCAGG